TATCTATAGAGTGCGACTGGGCCTCCAGCCTTGCTATTTTTCAGGTTTAGTGAGACTCCGCTATCAATTATATATTGACTCTACAGCAGAGCCTCAGATAATCTAAAAATTATTAATGTTTAAAGATAGGAAATGGGACAATATAAAAGTGTATAATAGATACGCAAAAAAAATGCTAAATATTTGCTACATAGGAGTTTGAATTTTTAGTTTTTTATGGCTTTTTTTTTCATGAATTTTTTATAAATAAATATTTTTTAATGGAACTGTGGTTCTTTATATATTAAGGTACTATATACGTCCGTAATATATAAACTATATATCTCGCTATATCTTTAGAGTGCGACTAGGCCCCCAGCCGTGTTAATTTTCAGGTTCACTAAGACTCCGCTGTTATTAATATATGGACTCTACAGCAGAGTCTTAGTGAGCCTAAAAATTAATAAGGTGGGCCCGGTCATACCGTATGGATATATAATGAGGAGAATGTTTACTCATGAGTAAGCTATAAGGATTTTCTTTGAATTCGTTTACAAACTTATATTATGTAGTTAAAAACTATTAACAGATTTCAATAATTTTTTAACTAGTTTTGATTATACAGTGCGTCCACTTAAGTTCGCAGTATGTTGAAAACTTTTTTATTATTAAATTAACGAAAAATAGTTATTATTCATAAAAAGTTCTGTATTGTCTGAAACCTAAAACGCAATCATCAGATATATTATTTTATAAATTATTTTTAGTACCTTCTGGTAACCCATATATAAACGTCAGTGTTTCAATCTATATTTTTGTTCTTGTTCTTTAAATTTATCACGTAGATTTTTGTTTTCTTCAAAGCGTACTGATATTATATTATTCATTGATTTTATTATTTACTTCCTCTAAATGTTCTTCAATTGTTGTTAAAACAATATCGGCCATTTTTTATCCAGATCTTTTAAAAACTTATATGTAATAATAATATCGGCGAAAAATTTCTGACAGGTATCTGTAACAACATTATTTAATTTTTTGTCTTTTTGTAAACACCATTATTACGTTTATAAAAATAAAAATTTAAATTTTAAACTAGTATTGAGCAAAAAATACATTATAATATATACACACAAAACTTGAGAATATTTAAAAAGAATACAACTATTTCAATTGATTTGCCAGCAGAAGCGACGAATTCGCATACTGTGTATCACTATCCTGGAGAACCCTGTATAATTAAAATTATTTTTATATTGTTGCCTTTTCTGATATTCATATCGTTGTGAAAACAGATACAAAACGAGGCGTTACCGGTGGCCAACCCTGTATATATGTGGTACTGATTATCAATTTTTCTCTTTCATCAAGAAAATTTTACCATATTTTTAGATTATGGATATCATTCCAATTTTTTAAATGTCGAAAAATATGCATTTCATTCAGAGACACCCAGTATTCTACTGTCTTGGCTGAAAAATAAACTTTTGTAACTTCTAATTCAGATTCATATTTTTAATTCTGAAGTATTATGTTTTTTTAAGCACCTTTACTTGATCTCTATACAAGAGGGCAAATTTTAAGCCGATTACATTAATGAACTTCTTTCTTCAATTAAAAACCGAATTAAAATTAAATAGCTTTTGGAGTAGATATCTAAGTATTTTATTACTTTGTTTCCAATCTTCAACTGAATTTAGAGACTGGTGGAAGAGCCAAATCTAGAGCAAAGAAAATCATAAAGTATATAGAGTGAATCACCCCGTATATTATGGTTGTAATTAGGGTGGTAATTTTTATAACCCCTAATGTGGTTTTTAGAATTTTAGTGATTAAAAGCTCTGTACTAAGTGTCGTGGATTGTGGCCACTTGGATATAATAACTCAATAACTCTGCATTATAAAATGGACGCCACCGTATTTAAATCTGCATCTCTCTACGAATAAAGTAATTAAGGGGTTCTAACGGTATGTCTTTCACGCCGTTATTTTTTAAACACCTCTATTGCCCCACGTTGGGCGCCAAAATTTGTAACGAGGGTGTCAATGTTTATAACCCCTGATGTTGTTTTTACAATTTATGTGATTAAAGCTGTGTACTAAGAGTTATCGATTGGGGCCACTTGAATATATTAAATCATTAAATCATTCTGTAATTAGAAAATGGACGCCACCGTATTTAATTTTGCATATCTCTACGTATAAAGTAATTGGTGAAAATACGAAAAAAAAATTTAATGTTAAATTTAAATAAAAAAACAAAGAATACGCCTTAGTAGATACGGGAAAATCAAACTTTAATCTACAAGAGTTTCTAATAATAAAATGACTTTTGAATTTATATATTTTTTGAATAGCATTCGGTACGATAGTAAAGGATAAGTAAGAGCTTCTTAAAAGTGAGAAGCAGGTCTCATCTCCTATAGTACTTCTTAGGTTAAACTTCTTACGTAAAACTTAAGTAAAACTATAAAATAACCATTTAGATGTTGCATAACTAAAATATTTCAACTTTAATGGATAATCCTATAGGTAAGACGGATAAGACGAACGTTTTAAATAATAAAATAAAATATATCTATTTTACGGAAACCAATATATTCAAAACATATTTAAAATAAACTTCTTGAGTACATGTTAGATGTTTATCACGAAGAAGTTAGGAAAGAAATAGAAAATTATCCTTTTGTTGCAGTGATTGCCGATGAAACGACGGACGTTGCTTGTGAATTTCAATTAGTTATAGTTTTCAGATATTTGTGTAAAGGACGTAAGCATTGTAGCTGCTCGCAAGAAAGCATTCTCGAACAAGCTTGCAATTTGATACTGCGAAACAACCCGTCCTGGGTTTGTTCTCAGCCACTGAGATATTTCTGTATCATAGAAAACACTCACAGGCCGCATAAATGAAACGTCCAGTGGCTGCAAACGATGTGAACAATGTGGAGGGAAACATAATAAAATGACACCATTTTCTCGTGCGTAGTTGATCAACTCTATATTTTTTGTATGAGTGGAGTGGCCATCTAGTAGCAGAAGTACAGGTGACGTTTTTGAAGCTTTGCTAAATTAAACGAACTTTTTAAACCATGCAAAAAATATCTCTTTTTGCATCCATCCACTTGGGTGAGTCTCAGCCCATGCACCAGGAGAACAGCCATTCAATAACTCTGGATTCATTTTAGAACGTGGGAAAATAAACATTGGTGGCATGTAGGTACCTGCAGCGTTAAAATATATCATAATTGTGATAGTTTTATCTCTCTCAGCAGAAGTCAGTGCTCCAACTTGCTTTCTTCCTTTTAACGAAATAATTTTTGACTTAGTTTTGGGAACAACTGATACGCCAGTTTCATCGCAGTTGTATATTCTTTCTGGAGTTAATTTATATTTATCTACTAATCGAGTTAGAAGATCAAAAAAATTGTTAACAACTGTAGGATTAAATCCTGCTGCTCTTGCAGCACTGGTAGCCTCAGGTTTTCTTAGAGAAATCCTAGGATTGCGACGCATAAAACCTGAGAGCCAATCTTTCCCTGCAGTTCGTTTTTCAGTTGCGAATACATGGGCTTTATTGAGCCTTTCAGCCCACTGGAAAGCTAATACTCGTAGGTCGTAAGGAGTAAGGCCAAAAAATCTCTCCTCCATTTTTAAGAGAAATTTTACTAGCAAATTTTTCTCTTCTGAACTAAAAACTGGCTTTTTTGGACCTAAACTGGGTTTAAGTTGCTCAGTTCCAATATCTGGATTTTCTCTAGCTATTTTAACTTTTCTCTCCAAAGTTGATTGAGGCACACCGTACGATTCAGCTGCCCTTTTATATCCCATTTCCTCATTCAACACAGCTGTAACGGCATGTTCCATCCCTTCAACAGACCAATTTCCACGGTCAGACTTTCGTTTATACTTTCTCATCATGATCTTAAAAAGGAAATAAATATAAATATAATTTTACTCTGGCAATTTAAACAACAAAGGTGACTTTCTATATAGCAAGTAGTACCCCTTTTTGCCCCTCAAAAACAAAACTATCTTGCCCCTTCGCGCCATTTTGCAAAAATTTCTAATTACTGCGATTCTGGTTTATAAAAAATAAAAACTAATTATACGTAACTAACTGCAAATACATCTTACATACACCAGTAAATATTTAAAAAATGTAAAAATAATGTCTATTTACTTATCACAGTTTAAACTTGATCACTATAAAAATGTAACGTATGAAATCACAGATTATTTGGAGATAACTTTACACAACTGCTTCGTCGCAATTCCACGGCATACTAAACTTTCAACCCGTGGTTACAGACCTTGACAGCGCATTTTGTTGTTGTTTTCCGTTCGATCGACTGCCCCCACTCGCTACAATTAGTGGTACCCTATCTTACCTCACTGCCCCCGTCTTGCCCCGCTCTCCCCTATATCCCCTGATAAACTTATAACAGTAGAATAGGGAAAAATAACTGTTATAAGGTAATCGGATGAGGTTTTATCTAAATTTTTGGAATCACTATTAATTAAGTTAGAAGATTCCGCAAAATTTTTATATTTAAAATAAAAGCATATATTTTAGAAATTATTGAAAGTTACTAGTGTACATTGTATATTATAATCTATAATAATTATAATCAAGTGCCTTGAGAAACTCCTAGTTTTAATCTATTTTTACTCTTTGATATTTATCGCTTAAAAAATATTTTATTTTGGTAGCTGCATCAGAAAATCTTAAATAATGAGTGATTCAGAATATACTTATTTTATTGATATCTTCAGCTTGAATTAAATAAACAACTAATTAATTAAATTTATTTAGGTGTAATTTAATTTGATCATCTAAAATTTCGCGGGGAAAATACTAATATACCTTAAATGATTTAAGCGATGACCGAATCTTAGGTAGGTAAAGGAATAATATTAGCGTATTTCCACCAATGGAAAATAACAGAATAAAGTTGTTTTACCTTCCACAGAGTGAAATGTGTCAAATTTATATGGCCAAGCCCGATTAAAATAAATCTTACCTGTATTTTCTACGATTTGGTAGGGGTATCGATGGCGAAAAATCTGGGAATTTTCACTAGAAAAATCATCGTCGTCTGATAAAAGGGCGTCTGCGATCCTCTCTCTCCAAAGTGATCCATCTTCCAGAGATTCCAGTGGTTTAACACCGGCGCTAATTATACATGGAAATACTGCTAGAAAGACGATGTGCCACATCTGAAATAAAAATGTGTAATTAAACAAAAACGAAAGGATCATATTGTATCAAAAAATAGTGACAATGTGTGAGTTGAAAAAGGAAAAGGTCCTACAGTGTTTTCCAAAAGTTTCATTCAGTTGGAAACAAGTTTTAAGTATTCACAAATATTTACATAAAATAAGATATTTCGTTGGATAAATATCTATTACTATTTCCATGATTAACGTGTTAGTCGTAAATGAAAACAACCATAGCATTTTGTATTATTTATTCTTTTATTATTTTGCCTAATAATTAAGTATATAAGCTTGAACAACTCACTTAAGCCATCCCAACCCCAACCACTCAAAATGATAATGTACGTTAGCAGAGAAGATCAAAGATATCTAATGTTCGTGAATTACATCACAACTAATTTAACTTTTCACTTCATATAATTCGCTCCAACTAAAATGGTTCATTTTCTTCGGTTGTCTTTATTACTAGTATTAATTCTATGCCCCATTTATTTACCAAATTTTGTGAATTACGCACAGGTAATGGATATAGTATAGGGAGGAATATATAGGGCGATATTTTAAAAACTTACAACGGCTATATCTCATGAACTCAAGTAAAAAGAAAAACCTAATAAATAGAATTTATTTTATAAATACATTAAATGCAATGAAATTTCCAATGCACGTCATAAACTCTAGAAAGTAGACGTTGTCACGTTGCTACAAAATTCGAGGACCTCAAGAAACATTTTATAAAAAACTAATGTTTAATTTGAACTCCATAAATAATTAATTCATTAAACCTACTTATACCATTTAATAAATAATATGCATTTTGACTATTTTGAGTTATCCAGATCATTGTGATCTAAAAAATGCCTTTCTTGTGCTATAGACAGTTATAAAAACATTCATTTATTTAAGCACAGTTGCAATATACATTTTAATTAGTTTTTAAGTTAATACCTAGTAGGACATCCTAAAATGTCTTTTTCCGTTTGATGTGAGATTCATTATTCTACATTTTAATTGTTTACGAAGGTGATGGCCTCCTCATTTGACGAAAATCTCTGACCTCCTAGCGCAAGTTTTAGATTAGGGAATAAAAAGAAGTCAGTTGAGGCTAAATCTGGTGAATTTTCGCCATGGCAACCGATGATGTGTGAGACGGCGCATTCTTTTAGTGCAACAGAATTTTTTCTGCAAATGTGGCCGTTTTTTAACAATTTCTGCCTTCAGCTTGTCAAGTAATGATGCTCCTGTAATGGTTTTTCCTTTTTGGAGATCATCGATTAAGATAACTCCACGACTATTCTAAAAAACATCGCCATCACTTTCCCAGCCACATCCCTAACTAGCCATTCATAAAAGTGTATTTGTTGTGAAGTTCTCATCATCATCTATTGTATAGTCCAGGAGACAGTGACGATTTTCGGTATTTATTTTCCCAGTCAGCAAGCACGAATAGAGAATTGTAGGATTAGCAATTCTAAGCAAAATTCATATATATTTAGAGGGGGGATCCGATGGGCTGAGGCCGAAAATGCGTCAAAACATACGAGAACACGGCCCTTTTTTTCCATTGATAAAAATAGTTTTAGTAGTAAGAGATGTACTGAATTTAAGTAAAAAAATAGTCTGATTAATCTGTATGGATAATATATTTGGCAAGTGCATAAAATACACTTTCAAACGAGTTATGTACACAATTATTTCTACGACCACAATTATTTAAAGAATGTTCCAGGTGTTTTGTATATTAAAGTATACGCATAGGACACATAAATAAAATCTTATATCACAATGTTTCACCTAACCAGTTGGTTTATTTATAGAAATTAAACATAATAATTGAAGATATTACAGAAGAAAATAGGGAAATAAATTACATTTCCTTTTACACTTTTATATAATAATTGTTTTATTTAGAATTCACGAATCACTTATCACTCTACATTAATTATAATTATTGTTAGTTTCGTTATGTCAAATCATTTATACTAGAGGTGTGAGGAAAATACAGTGAACTGTGGAACGCCAATATCGTTGGATGCGCGTGGTAGAAATGGTCCCATAATACTGCTAAAAACATAGCTAAATTTTCATGGAAACACTGTACTTTTGACATTTGCGATACTCCGACGCATATGCATTATTGATGTAATTAAGTACATGCTTCTAGTTGATATCTACCTAATCGTCATCGGGTGCTTGCAACAATGGGAAAAAGTGTATGTTTTTTTTGGTGTAAAGTTAGACGCCTTCATTTTTCAGGTAAGTTATTTGTAGTTATTTTTTACTTAAAAGGATAGCAATACGTCCTGGTTTTTGGGTTTTAGCTATCTGAGCCAAATTGTCGGCTAAGTGTCATCTTTTAGGGCACCCAGAACCGAAAACTATATAGGTATATAATATGTTTTTTTTTTAAATTATTTTTTAATATGTATGCAGCTTGGATGAGGGCTTTAGGAAGAGATCCTAAGACTGAACACTCACTGCTATAAATGCCGTTTTTAGAGCACATTTCATAGTAAGTTATTTCATTCTAGCAGCAATGAGGAAACGTTTAAAAAACCTGCTGTACCAGCTATTACTTTAAGACCTCGTCTTTTTAAGTTATTATTACTTCATTCTAATGCATATATTAAAATGGTTTCCTTATGATTAAAAGATGTAGGTATGTTATAATAGAAATATATGATACTTTGTATTGACTGACCTACTGGCCACTGGTCATTCCACTTTTACTCCCTTTTTTCATAAATTATCAAATTATTTAAAAACAAATACATACCTAGCTATTTTTTGTAAGTTACATTAAAATTTTAGTATTAATCTTGGTTATAAATCTATGTTCCCAGCCGAACAAACTGTTTTTGTTTTTTTTTTTCGAGGGCATAATGGTGTATCCAAGTTTTATCTACAGTAATTAATTAGTGCCAAAATTCTGATTGATTGCGCTTAAACTGAGCCAAGAGAGCGTTAAAAATGTTCATCCAAACAGGTTTTTGGTCTAACGTGAGCAAACGCGGCACAAAAAACAGCTTTCTAATGTCTAAATCTTGATTCAATATGTGTGACATATTCATAGCCTTTCTTTAATTCGAAGGTCGGTTAGCACCATTTGGTGAATTTTAGAGATGTTATCGTCAGTGGTTACAGTTTTTGGACGTCCCGAACATTCATCGTCTCCCAAGTTTGACAGCCACGTCTAAATTCAGCTGCCCAAAATTTAACGATGGTAAATGATGGTATAGAGTCCCCTTACACAACGTCCAATTCATCTTTGATTTGTGTAGGCGTATTGCCTTTCAAAAACAAATATTTCATTACAGCTCGATACTCGATTTTTCCATTTTCAGAAAAACACTCTCATCGACTGACCATAGCCCTCAGAAAGTCTAGATACCGCTTGGCGTATGCTGTCAATACAAAAAAATGACCCCATTCAAGCTTATCGCCATGTTAGGTAAATTTATGTTTTGGCTACACTGATTTTTAGTTTGTGTGTTCTGTAATACGTGAACACCGATAATCTGCACTTTGTTATTAGTTAAAAGTGAGTGAGACGCACAATTTCTAATTTCAAATTAAGAACAAAACTTTGACAAACCTATTTGATTTTCCTAGATCTGTTCAGACAGGACCGGTTTTATAAATTTTCTCGTTCTTGAAAAAATGTTATTTTTACATGGTTATATATATTATTGGATAAGTGTTTTGTGTACATATTGCTATGAGAATTATAGAGAAATTCAGTGAGATTTATGTAATATAATTCAAATTACAAGTAAACCATCTGTTCCTGTTTGGCAATATGGAGAAAATACCTACTTCAATGTCAAATGTACTATTTAAAAGAATGTGATTGTTAACCGGTCATTTATTTATATTATATTATGAAAGATATACTTACATCGGTAACAAGGCATTTTTATAAAAACTGATAGATTACTCCTATTCCTATAGTTTATTTAAAAATGAATAATAGCAAAATTATATAAAAATATAGACCTTTGCCATAAAAACTGTGCTACCCAGCATTTTCAAATAAACTATAATGATAATTTGATTTAATAGAGCGAGTATAAGATGTCACCTGTTAGAGAAATTGGGACATAGGGAAGAGATTATGAAGCAGGTAAGCAAAGTCGTTGCAAAAGATAAATATATAGAAGTTATTTTAAAATTTTGATAAAAAAACTATTGGAACAACAAATGGAGTTGTCGCTATCGGAGATCCAATCAGCAGAAAGTAAAAAAAAACTTTGGGAATGTTGGAAAAGGGCACAGCAATAGTCCCAAAACAATTCCTTGGTTTTTTAATAAATATAATCTTGTGAGATGTAAAAAATACTGCTAGAGTGGAGAAGCAGTATTGTTCTAATGTTGAAAACCCAGGGACATACAGGAGTGCACTAACCATAGGCGAATAGTCACTAAATTATACAAGAGTCCTATCTCGATTTTATTTTTAAATATTTTTGAGAATAGGTACCTACTATTATTTGTTACATTCAGTTTAATAAAACCACAGATTTCGAATGTATTGAAAGTTATTTAAAAAGTACCTCTATAAATATATAGAAAATGTGTATATGACTAACTGGTTTTATTAATCTTTTTTTGGGATAGGTAAATATATTTTGAAAAATTTACAAACTTCTTTTGAATAAAAGACAAAATATTTCTGTTTTTATTAACTGAACAATATTTTATACAAACATAATATATACCTATTTAAAAGAAAATTTTACATTTTACAAGTATCGCATATTTATATGAAATAACTTACTCAATAAGAAAGAATTAAATGAAACAAATTAATAAACAACAACTTATTCTTACATATTGCTTTAATCAATTTATTTACTATAAAAGTATATTTCCTATCATTTATTACATGTAATAAAATAAAGCATAAAACATACAAACTATAATATGTACCTACTTATAAAGGAACTAATATTAATAAAAAAACCTGACCAAAAGATGTAGAATAAATTGTCGCAACGGTT